ACTAATATTATTCTGGAAGACAGTGCATGTTCCTCGGCAAGTTATTAAATTAACCCTCTGTGGTCCACTCGTCGATACCTAAATGACAGATGACCTTTCTGGAATGCTGACATTAAACTGTAATTGCAATTTGATGAGAGATGACATTGCTCGAGTTATTGTAGGCTAGTGTTACTCACTGATGTTTTCTGTACCCACATTATGAGCTGTTGATTTCAATCGCAAACTGTAGGCAGTTTCCAGGACCAGGTATATCCACACAGGACTGAGCAATAGAGCACTTGTATTGATGCTGGGATAAGCTTGCCCTTTAATAGAATTGCTTTATCTTTTCTGTTCAGTCCAGGAGCAGGAATACTGGATACAGCAGTTCTGCAAGGGTTACAGTTCAATACAATAATACAAAGTTACATTTATATAATGCTTTTCATGTCAAACGGATGTCCCAAGGGACTTTACAGGATTGATTGCACACCTGAGCTGAGGTGGGAGCTGGGGGTGGGGGTGCGGGGTGGTGAGATGAGCGAAAGCACAGTCAAAGAAGTAGGTTTTGAGAAAGACGTTGAATGAGTTGAAGGAGGGAGTGAGTTGGAGAGGCTCTGGGATAGAGTTCTGGAAAGTGGGGACGAAAGGCTAAAAGCCCACCTGCTGATGGTGAGGGATATGAAGCAGTCCAGTGCTCGCTGAGCAAAGGGAGTGGCTGGGTTCTAGGGTTGCACAATAGCTAGGTAGACCAATGGTCATTTATTTAGGGTTATATCTTGAACCCGTCATCTTGTGACCTGCTTGATGAACTGAAATATTTGGAATATTGCGATAACCCTGGATAACATGGCATTGGGCTGTATGTCTCATTCTGCCTCATCTTGCATCATTGAACACATTGAACTTATGTTTGAGGCAAAGCATTTGCATCAATGTTTTTTGGAGTGCTAGAATGTCCATATGGTGTTTTGCTTCAATGTGTTAATTTAGATCTTATTTATGTACATGTAAGGTAGCACAGATCAGCTTATGTCAGCCTCTAATTGGTACACAGTCCCTTTTTGTGCTTGATCTTTTACTGAAATGCAGTATTTGCTTTCGTTTTAAATAGACAAAAGATGTATTCACATATTTCCTTTGATCCATTTGCTTTTCTATTTGTATAGTTTTTGTGTGGGTTGAAAGTTGCTTTGAATCGGGTTTCCTTGCCTGGTGGAAGAGTTCGGAGTGAAATCTCCAGGGGCATTTGTTGGTGTCTTGACCAGGATTTTTTTATTTTGTGATCTTCTGAATTGCCAATTAAACAGTAAATGAAATGGGATTATGTTGAAAGGTCTCTCCAGAAAGCGAGTTGTGAATGTGCAAGTGGTGGTCATGCTCACCGGTTGTTGGGACAATTCCAGCTTGAATTGCTACAGAGAGCATTGCAGAAAGGACTCCCATGGAGGCCCCGTGCATTCATCTGAGGCGTGAGAGTAATAGTGCTCTCAGAGCTGTCTGAGTTTAATGGTGCATTTACACGGAAACCTTGTTTGAAAAAGTACTGTATTTGTTACGAATGATTTAAGATCTGAATAATATCTTTAAAAATTGAAAAGATTTTACTGCATGCCGGCACTGGACAATATGGATCTTAAAGTGATATCACCCATTGAAGTAACTTGTGAGCATGTTCAACTTTTGCAATCTTACTGACTGTGGGTTAGCTGGCCCAACAGCATGTTCAAGAAAGATACAGACCTTTTTTTTCTGATGTGATTATTGCAGAGCCATCTTTAAACATTTTAAAAGACAACAACCACTATCATTTATTTTCCTGTGGTCTTGATTCATGAACTCATTGGTCTTGTGAGTTAGTTGGGAAACAGGTGGCAGGACATGCTGAGGGTGATTGAACCCTATAAATCCATGATATTCATAATAGTCCTATAATCCTTGCATTTGATTTAGCCTTTCACATTGGGAGAGTGTTTTCAAGTGCTTCACAGATTTTACTGGAATGTGTAGTGACTGTTTTGCAGAGGGAAGTGACAGTCCTTGAGGTCTGGAACGATGTATCCTTGGACCATGTGCAAATAGCTGATTTTTATGATGCCAAATTCTTGGAGAACCAGGCAACAAGAAACCGTCAATTTTAACATTCTTTTGATACTTGTTCTCTGTTCTCATACAAAATTGGATTGAGTTCAGATAACCTTGTTTTGTGAATCGAGTGAGGACATATTCACACGGGACCGTCCAGTCATACAAACTCCTCACTGTGTAATCAACCCTTCATGAGCGTGGCTTCCTTTGCTGTGTAGTGTGGCCATCTCCACTTAACATAAGCAAATTTGTGACGAGCCAAATGTTGACGATGCGTTGGAGATTTATGATTTTTTTTGTGTTGACCTGGATTCCCTTTAGTGAAGAATCAAAACAAACAAAATGATGGATGGGTTGAGCAGCCTGTTTGTTGAAAGTCTCATGTTCAGAAGACCACAGCCTCAATAATAATGCTCCATTGCAGAGAGCATGGGTTTGGCTTGGCGATGTACACCAGGCAGACTCCAATGTGCAGTTGATTCTTCACTGAAAGAGCAAGACGCGATAGCTGTTGAGTGAAGATGTATGAATCGTGTGGGACCCAAAACTACAGTAGTTGTAACCAGAGTCCACCAGGTAGTGGGAACCAATTTCAAGATTCTCCCACTTTTTCTCCCTCTGTAACATAGGAACTGCTTTGATCCTAAATCCCTCTAGATGTTTTTGAAGTATCAGCTTGGAATTCAAAAGGAGTTAATATTTGTTCCACTTTTTAAATATCACATCAAGCACCAGCACAATTCTATCATCCTAATAGCCAATAAACCTATAATTTGATGCAGTCATTTTATTATTTGTGTTTAGATGAGTAATTTAAGATTTGTTGATAATGAAGTTGGCAGACACATTGATCTCCCTTCAGTTTCCCTGATATAGGGACTATCCAAGTGGTGACATAGTACCACAAGCTCTCAAAGCTCAAAGAACATTAATGCTTCTTCCATGATTGTCTTGGAAATATGTTGAAATCTTTGATGCAATCTCAACTATCTCTGTAAACAGAATACAGCTGCCTTAAATGTCTTGATGATTTAGTTGTTTAATTCACTTTTACGAGAAGCTTTTCTTATTTACCATTTAAAGGGATGGCTGTGGTCGTCCCTGAGATCTGCTAAAGCTTTTAGCTGGGCTAAGCTCCTGCAATTGCTGGGAACTGAATGTTTTAGTGGTTGATGTCTCAAAGCTTTGTGTCACCATTTGCATCACCCCTGGATGAATTGACTCCAGTCACTTTCACCCACAAAATACAATCCTATTTTTGCTTTACAGTATATTATGTAAAGAGCTTTAAGATGTCTCAACGACATGATAAGGCACTATATCAAATGCAATGATTATTATAACCTAACATGCAGTGTCCCTTTAAGGAAGCCAGCCATTCAGTTCCAGGAATGTAATGGATGTTTATCCTTCTTGAGAGATTGTCTTCAACAAATAGGTCATGCAAACTATTGACCCGCACTCCGTTTATTTCACATTCACATGGATTCACATGAATTGATGTTGTTAATGTGGTCACGGAATAGTTGTTGTTGTAAACTATATTGCCGCCACAAGGCTTTAAAACAAATCTTTGCATCACCTTAATCCATACTTCCATATTTGTTGGCTCATTTTATCAATCATATTCTTTTTTTCTTCTAGCTCTTTCAGGTTGTTTTTTCATTATTAAAAGATAATAATAATAAGGAAACTTGCCTAAGATTTCACCTTGACCGGGAATCGAACCCGGGTCCTCTCGCTTGAGATGCAAACCACCCATCTACAAACGACATTGTACCACAATGAGTCCTGGTAACTTGGGTCCTTATTTTCTTGCAAAAAAATTGTTAGACCCTCAGTAAATATTTTTGCTGTATTATCCCCATCAGGATGTCCACAGGATGTTCAAAAGCAAAACCGAGATCTCAAGAAAAAAGTGCAGACAGATTGATGTTGCTGCCAATGACAGCCTGGAAATGCTCATTTTTGATTACTTTTGCAAATCTTGGCACATGATTTATTTCAAAAGCTGCTGCGTTGTGTACAAACACACACACACACACAAATCGCTTGCATGAGAATTCTTATCGTGTCTGTCCCACCAGCTGGTTTGAAAGTAGGTGAGAAAAACACATCTTTATTACAACAGTAGCTCTTTGTGGAATGATATTACACTACCCACTGTTACATTTTATCGTCTTAAAAGCTCAGTCTGTCATCACCTCTAGCATCAGATGCGACGTACATCACTGATTCAGACTGCTTCCTCATTTCAGTAGGCTCAGATACTCTAATTGCCCAAACAGTGCATCTTTAAACAGACTATTCACAATTTCCAACATCCAACCACCTTCTCCTGCATTCTCCATTTTGTTTCTGAAACCTTATGGGCAGCGCCATCATGACTCTGCCCCAGATGCATAGACTAGTGATTGAACTAGACAACCTTGATGCCTGTATGCCATTGTGGATTTCATCCAAAAGTGAATCTGTACTTGAATGAGGTTGACCAGAGGTAAGAAGTTGGGTACTATGGGTGCCAGCATTATGAAGCATTCAATATGGGATGCCACAGTGTGGTGAAATAATAGCTTGTACCTGCGATATCATACTCACCACTGAGTTTCCCATCACTGTAGGCAGGTATGAGTAGAAGTTGACGATCCTCCATTCATTTCTGGAATCAGCGGGTCAGGAAACTGCATGATCAGGTTAACCCAGCAAACGTAACCATGTATATATTGAATCAGCGCTCTCTCACAGTCAGCTTAACCACTGCCTCCCAACCGAGGTCATCAACATTCCCCATTTCCGCTTCTCAAAAAAGAAACTGCATTTTATCAGAATTTATTCAATATTCAGGGGTTTATATTGTAAATGGTGTGATTTTCTCTGTAACTGGAAACCTAAAGGGAATTTTTGTTCATATCCCTACTTTTCTTTTGCAGGTGAGTAAAGTGTGTGGGCAGCCCCAAGAGAGAGCAACAGCTGTCTTGCCAACCAGTCTGCTACGAGCTCAAGTCGTGCCCGACTCCAGACCCCAGGCTGTGAGCCAGTTTGGCAACATGACACAAAGAAGAAGGTAAGGACTGAAATCAGATTGCTATCTTATTCCCTTCATTCCTTCCTCAGTCACCCGCCATTCCCTATAAAGGTCTGCTGGGAAGTGTGCAGCTTAATATGCCAAGAATATGCATATATTTTTTCAAGGTTCTTTCTGCTTGGCCGTGGACATTTTCTGCTCACCAAGACATGTAGTGAATTTAGGACTTCTCCATTGGCAGCATAGGCCTGGCAAGTTCATGCAACTTCATGCAATGGACATTAGACGCAACACAAAGGACAGCATGAATAATCAACCAAAAGGGTTAAGAACATGAAATACCAAGAGAAAGTTTTCAGGCGCGCTCCTCCCACATTCCATGCATAATTTACCCTACTTTAAACTTGCTCTTTCTTTTGGGGAGAATAGTTCTGCATGGATACTTCCTGGTTGCCAACAAATAATTGAGAACAAACGCAGAATGCTCACTCATCCATCCATTGGTACAGCAGAGAGAATGTTATTTAGTCAGTGCAGTTGCTCAAGACAAGTGATGCAATCAAATGTTTTCCTCTATGCATGTTTGAGGCTTGCAACCTTCCGTATCAGAAGCTGTTTCAGTCCCAGTCTTTTCTTTTTTATTGTTTATTTTAATTCCTAATTCTATGTCAAAATATCTAATCAAAGCTTCTCTATTTTGACGTCAGAAAATGACACCTCTGGTGTCGCCCTCTTTATTCTGAGTGGGTTGACTTTTTGGATTTCATCTGTTTGTTCCCACTGAGCATGTGCATGAGATTTATTTTATTCTTTTAAATTATGACTTGACTTTTCACATGTTTTCTTTGTTTCCTTTTTGCTCTGTATTCCTGCTTTTTTTAATATATATTTTAAAAAAACTTCTCCTTGTGGCGAATTCTCTGCTGGCTTGTCTGACCTGCTCTTGCTGACCTCGGTTCTGTCCAGCTCCCTGCCTCTGAAAGAAGTGAAAGCCGATAGGCCTAGGACTATGAAAAAAAATACCAGGTAAGAAGGTGCTTTCAAGTGGCTTTCACCAACTGAATCTGTGCTCGTGATGGTGCTGAACTGAAGCCCTCTGGCTGAGTAATCACTGTGTAGGAAGTTATCTTTACAGGGATGCCAAGATGCCTTTGTACTCTTCTGGGGGGGAGTGGCGAGATAAATAAATATTCCTTGCATTTGATATATGTAGTGTCCTTCATCTCAGGAGTAAGTGCTTCACAGGATTAACTAAAAAGTGCAGTGACTGTCTATTTTGTATTGAAGGTGAATGCAGCAGCCAATTTGAACACAACAATGACCCAAACAGCCATGGAGTGAATGATCAGTTATTTTCTGGGAGATTGTTGGTCAGGATATCGGGAGAAATTCCTTTTTTTGAATCGTGCCATGGGGTTTTTAACAACCATCTGATCATGTACACATGGCCACAGTTTAATGTTTCATACGAAAGGTGGAAAGAATTTGTTGGATACACATGGAATGAATTCATTTTATACACATTAACGTCAGATATGTTGGCATTGGGAAATGCATCTTGATCCATTTCCAAGCTTTACCATATGAAGTTCCATTCCTGTGATCACAATCCATTCTTATATTTTTTTTGGGTGTAGGGGGCAGTTGGGTGTCTGACACATGCGGACACCTATCATCATGCTTAAGAGTATCCAAACCAAACTGAGTTCCATGCATCTCACCTATACATGGAAATTCCAGAGATATTTGTTGTGAAGTTAAAAATGACCCTAAAACATTAAAAATGCCGAACACCTTTGCTGCTAAATTTTGGCAGGTGTAGGAAATCCCCCAGGAAGTATGACTTGAGGAAAGTTTATAATCCTTGCATTTGATATAGTGCCTTATCATGTATTCGAGACGTCTCAAAGGGCTTCACAGAACATCCTGTAAAGTGAATTGATTGTATATTTTGTGGGCAATTCTCCTGGTACAATGCCTGTCCAAGGAGCTTAAGGTGTAATGTGAAGCACACATAGTTCACTGTGACACACGATCCTTTGAATGGCTTGTTTTTCTTTTCCTTCGTCAGAGATTTCATGAATTACATTCGCCGGTTCAGGACCTTTTACACGCTGCTGGCTGAGCAGATCTGCGATGGTGACCTGTTGCCTCCGCACAGCTCAACCTGCTGGAATGGAGAAGATGTTGTTGAAAGGTAAACAAGTTCTTTGACAGTGGGGTCAATGTGCGAGTGTGGATTCATGGTTGTCACAGGTCAGGCTGGATGTTTCACAGTTTACCCTCTTAATATCACATTGCACAGCTTCATTATGGATATGTTTGCTTGATGTATGTTATTGCTGCAGGCTTTGTTTTGTGATGACTTCATAACTTAGACAGTTTCTAAAGTTGAGAAGCTGGTTGTGAGGCTGGATCTTTCCTACCTGAAATCTAAGGCCAAATGTAGCAAAACTGAAAGTAAATAGCTCTCTCTTTTTGTGCTTTGTTGTCCCCTCTCAGCTTCCTACCATCTTGCATTCTAATGCTTCACTGCACTTTCTAAGGGAAAGTTGTCCTTGAGAACCTCTGCTGTTATCAACTGAGTTATCCATCACTAAAGAGAGAATTTTAATATAGTAGTTAAGGGTTTAAGGATTAGAGAAATGTAGAATGTGTGTGGTTTTCAGGATTGCAAATGAGAAGCTTAATCAAGCTGATGTAGTGGCAAATGCAATTGCCAGTGAGGTAAATCCTCTTGAGATGCCTTCGGCTACAACTGCCAACTGTTAGTAGTTATAAGTCACTCATTTTGGGATCAGGGTATCTTGTAAAGCTCATGAGGCTAATAGCAAATAAGCAAACGGGATTAAAAATTGGCTTAGTAACGGAAAACTGGAACTCTTGAATTCTAAAGTGAAACTCAGAGAACTGAACTTTTTTCATTGAAGATGATTGCGAGCAGATGTGTTGCGGTATTTAAGACGCTAATGGGCACAAGCAACAAGTAGATGTGAACAGATCAATGTGTATTGTTGTTTAACAAGAACAGCTAAGAGTGTGGCAAGAGATAAGAAGAAATCATGTCATCCTTCTCTTTGCTCCCCTTCCCGACTAAACTTTTTCATATGGAGAAGTTGTGATATAAATCAATGTTATCACGCCCTGGTTTAAAATGCTGGAACATCTACATATGAGAATTCCTTGCTGCCCGTTTCATTGGATGAAAACCCATGGTGCAAGCTACCACCAAGGTATGACAAGTGTATTCAAGAAGTGATGCTTGGGCATTAACAAGACTGCAGATGGTAGAAGGAAAGGCCACCACAGAGTTGAAAACCCGTGAAAGCATAACTTGAAGTCAGCGCAATTCATTCTAACTTGAATTCTAATGATATAAATCTGCAGGAAGAAGGAAAGAATGTGCTGGTTTGAAGTATTTGGAGTTGGGGTGGAACTAAATAGGAAAGTTGAGGGGGACAATGACTGTAATAAGATCAATAAAATGAAGAAAATAGCATGGCATTATGAGCTGGCATGCCGCCCAGCTCTACCTAGAACTGAATGATAGAATGGAACATATCTATTTATTGTAAGGGTCTGACATGGAATGAGTTTTGGTAGTTGCTCATGGGAGAGGACTCACAACAGAAAACTGTGCTTAAATTGGTGCTAATTGTAATCTCATTCTGAGGGTCTGGGAAATGGACATTTCACACTGGAGCAGTGAGGGGTGGTCATCTTAGGTCAGGGCTTGACTGTGCAGCTGGCTGTGTTGTACATGACCTCAGAGTGCCTGATGCTGACACTGGATATCTGAAATCAGTACCAACATCCAACGTTTAAAAAAGAGTGCATTCATCACACAGAGGGCTCCTTTTGAAGGAAACATTGTTTATTCTTTTCTTTTGGTCTCTGAAAATAAAAGAAGCTTTAATGAAATTATTTCAGCGAACTCCAAAGCTCGCCACAGTCTGATGAGCAAGCTGTTCAAGTCTGGAATTTTTGAGTTGAAAGTTCAAGATTTGTGGTGAGAACAGGAACATGTCACAAGAATTGTTTTAGTGTAAAATTCCCATTGAAGATGGACTGCGTGGGATAGATGAACAGGGAATGGGTTATCCCTGCACTGGGAATATGCCTGCAGCAATGAGGAAATAATCACCAACTTATTGCAATCTGACCAGGGAGGTTAATGGGGTCAGTTGAAAGTGTCAGAGTGGAAACTTCACTCAGATAGGTTTCAACCAGATTGGTGGCTATCAATTAAGTTGTGTAAACCATGTATGTGTACAGGAGGAACTTCAGGCGGCGTTCACTATCAATCAAAAAGTATAATTATTTATTTTCACCAGTTGTTATTTTACAATAACAGTGATGGAGGAAAGTGGTACCAGGTTTAGGACATCAGCAATTGTGGAAATGATTAACTCCTGGTTCTCATGCTGATAAATACTGGGAGATCTTTATGACTTATACAAAATTTCTAAAGCAACATTCAGGCAAGATAGGGAGAGAGCAAATTTGAAATTTGCTTTGCTGACCATGATACATTAATCAGAGTATTTAATTCATTAATGTTAGTATCTCTGTTTTATGAAATGTAAGTGGGGGAAAAAAATGATGAATATTAAAAATGAGGCTTTTGGCTTAAGACGTTTTTCATTTCAAACAAATTCACTCAAAGTCCAATGCTTGATGGCTGGAGGGAGACTAAAGCAAGCAGGCTGAGAACTTGGTTTATCATGAAGCCTGGCACAGCCAGTAGGGTACAGTATAAGGGTTTTCCATTAAAAGACCCTTTCTGACAGATTAAAAAAATAGTCACCAAACATGTATATGGTGTGGACTTGCTGAGACATGTTATTTTTCTCCTCTTTCTGAACTATGCTGTTGTCTTCATAGCAACAACAATAAATTGCAAATTGGTCGGGAGGAAATCCTAAAACAATGAACAGTGGGTGGGGTTTACACCCGAGCTTCGGGTTTCATTTCTTTGTTTTTTTGTGCTTGTTTCATGGCACACAAAGCAACTGGATATCTGCAGAACTTGCCAACCAAAGAGCTTGCAAACCACAGAGTACACATAATTTCCTATGACATAATTTTGAATGGTCAAAGGCTACGATTGATGTCCGTGTCTAAGACTTGTGATTGTTGTCTCTCCCTTACACAGATCAGTAAAAAGGCACTGTACTGTACCATGCAATATATTCTGTCCATTAATCAAGTACAAGTAGTTTACAGTTGGTTGCTAAATGGATGCTGTTTTTGTCTCTGGTTATTTCAGCTTATTTGCCCCTGGGAGTTTGAAGAAGTAGCCATTGCTTGTGCTCGGGGAAGGGGGGGTGCCATAAAAATGCCAGATGATTTTTTGTTTACAGAAATGTCTGTCTGTCTCCAAACTCCAGTGTCATCACCTTGCATCAGACTTTGAAAACCTAAATCAAATGGAAAATAAACATTGCTCTAATTTCATTTGCTCTGCAGGAAAAAAAGACAAGCCATAGTCTTTCCTTTTTAAAAAGAGATTTTGCCTTAGAACCTTTAGGTCTGGAATAAAAATAAATAGTTCCTTGGTAACCTAATTCGCTTGCAAATGAAACCAGAAAATAAACTTGAAATGGTGGTGGGTTTCGTTTTCAAAAAAATCTGAATATATTGCAACAGAATGTAAGTGTGGCCTCTTGTATCTTTGAGCTTGGTTGTTGAGTTTGCAGTTTAGACTGGTGGAGCACTGAATTATTGGAGGTGCTGTGCTTCAGATGAGATGTTAAACTGAGGTTCTGTTTGCCTCTTCAGGTGGATGTTAAAGATCCCATGGCACTATTCAAAAAGAAAAAAGGCATTTTATTTTCTGGCCAACAATTCAATTATTCGTTGTGTCTCGGACATTACTGTGCTCAAATTGGCTGCCACATTTGGCTACGAAATATACAGTCAAAATTAAGTTTACAGAAAGTTCTGTGAGTCACTTTAAGAAGTTCCACTGTAATAAGGCCCTTCATCAAATACAACAATCATTATTTATTTTTTATAACCCATTGTGCTTTGAAATAAGTGAACAGCATTGGCACCTGGGCTTCCCTGATCGAAACCATGCTGAGTGTAGGCCAAGCACTCCCCAAAGGTGAACGATAACCTGAGGCAGAGTCTATCTCTTGTATAGCTCATGATGGGCAGCTTCGGATCAAGAAATGGATCCAGTATTAGGTTTATTCTCATAAATATAGTTGCATCTGACATATCACCTTGTTGTCCTGAAACGTCTCCAAACACTACACACAATAAATTTATTTGAAGCATAATGAATGTTATGAAGACAAACATGGCAACGTGTCTTTGCCAGTTACATGCCACAAACATCAATAAGATCAATAACCAATTTTTTTTAAAATTTGTTTCTGGTGAAGTTGGGTGGCTAAGAAATATTGGGCAGGACACGAGTAGATCTCCCTGATGTTCAATGATTTGCGTGGGCTATATTTAATATTTCTAAATCAACAGAACAGGAATTATCTCTCTGAATGTTGTTTCATGCTCTATCAAGATTCCTCATTGCTGGGTTGGGACAAAGGAGATGAGTCCAATCCAGTTGGGAAGGAGCAGCTAGATGGATTTGTTTCTTAACTGGGAAGCATTATAATCTGTGAGTAGAGGGAAATCTGAATACTGTTTTGAATTATAAAGTCATTTCAGAAGGAAAGTTGATAGACTGTGTATCTTTCATCTCCTTGATCTGTTAAATCCAACCTCCTTTGTGTCTGTATCATAAAAATCTCTTTAGGATGGAGCAGATGACATGTTTGTGACAGCCAATCCTCTTGTCCCAATTTAAACCAATAATACGTCCATTCCAGACATTACCTCACATGTGAATATCACTAATTATTAACAACAATAATAATTAAATAATAATAATTATCTTTTGATGAAATCCAAATCATTTGGTTTGTTTTTCTATGGAACAGTAGATAAGATGCTCAATTAAATATCTTCTGGCCAGTTGTGAGAGTTGAGTGGTTGATGTATGTGATACTCAGTCAAAAAGGTTAGGCAAGTCCCAGGTGTAATCTCTGATCTGTGCTGAGATGCCAGTAAATATCATGTGAGGACTGGATCGAGCTTCACTCTGATTTACCCCCCTCACTCCCCCTCTCCCCATGCCATGGTCACATCATCTGCCAACCTTGGGTTATTTGGTTGGGGTCACCATAG